TCGTATTGTTTTGTTTTTGACCTATTGTCACACAATTGATTGTCCCAGAATATGTAAACTGCATAATCATTAATGTATATGCTTCCTAAACTCGATGCAGGGAAAGGTTGCGCGTGGTTTATACAGAAAGTTTCAATATCAACAAAACAACCGGAAGCGAATAATATAATTGGAGTGTTGCCAAACCATTTAAATACATATTTTAAAGGAATTTATGTACTTTGGGTGTACTAAAATAAATTTGCATGCATTTCAGGAAGATGGGAACGTTCTGTTTGTATATTTGTAGGAAAAAGTAACGTTATTTAAGAATCATTTTTTCGCTAGCATAAAAATTCTACGTTTATCGTAGTTTGGCAACTAGGAGTACTTGTAGCTAGTCAGAGACGGATACGATTACTCAGATTGATTGGTTTACAATTACTGTGGGGCCAATTCATTGTAAACTTCCGATAACATCTCATTTTCTTACAAAACATTCCGAAGCTGGAACGATGCCCAATTTTTCGTGTACTTTACGTGAAAAATACTGCTAGTTTAGTCGGAAATATATTTGTGTTCTGAAATTCCAGATTTATGTGAAAAAAATTCAATGCGTAGACTACTAACGAAAGTAAAATTGTTTTAAAATTGATCAGACATTCATAATATACGTAATAAAGTATCTAAATAAATAGAACAGGCCACATTAAAACTGGTATTATATAGATCAGACATTTGAAAAATGCTCTTTGGCCACTCGCGTGAGTGCGACGGCTGTACCATTCGTTTGAATGTTTGTAATTGTACCTACTAAATAAGACGTTCTACTTTAGCTCAAGTCATTTGTAGATTACATACGCGTAAACGGAGAATTATGATTACAGTTCAAATTCAACCAAAATGATCCTATATGTACAAAAGTCACGAATCTGGTGGTTTGGAAAAGTTTTACGTGACATGCCATAATATGCGAACTGATGAATTACTTTATGTTTCCAAACTGGAGTTATGGGCGACAGACGACGATCCGTGTAATTCTTTAAAAATCCAAACTAAGCTATATTTACAATAGCACACAGGACGGTCCCCACTTCTCTAAGTAGTTAAAAAATCATTAAATAGCCAATTAAAATATCCAAAATAAAAGAAATTGGACAAATCTAAAGCCCGCGCTCACCCCTACAGTTAAACTAACTTTAAATGAAAATCTAACCTTTATCTGTAATTCAAACCCCAAGCTTCCCTTTTGATTAACTCGTTGTACCTAACTCAAAGTTTATCGTAAATTGTTCTTAAACTACTCGACATAAATGACACTGTCTTGAGTAAACTTACGTTATTGAATTGACCGAATACTGCCCATCAAGTGGCTTCCGTTTAAATTATTGTGGAATAATAAATCCAACATTTTAAGAAAGCTTACTTTTACAATACAAGCATGGGAGATTAAAAATTCTAATCATTTAAATCTTCAAGAGTAGAGGACATTTTCCCAGCTCTCTAACAGCAACCGAACTGCAGTCCTCAATTTTGTACACACTCTTTGGATGCAGCGCTGCTCTGGAGTATGTACTTCTAGCAGAGAAGTAAAAGTGATAGTTCTACAAAAGCCTGGACTCTAAGTCATACGACCGTGATACGTTTAGGACGACAAGCCTTACTTAACGTAACAAAAAGGTTCATCGAAAGACATATTAAAGCGTGCCCTGACTTGAATATTTTACTCTAAACCAACCAAACGCGCAGCGCGCACTCATGAACGACTTTCTTTATCTTTCAGCTTCGTGTCCCTTGCACACTTGTCGACGATGTGGGCACCGTCGGCGTGGTGTCCCTAGTCGCCGATATGGACCATCAAAATATCATGTCGGCGTTGTGGGCATTCGTAGAAGTGTCCTAGATCCGTCATTCTAACCTTTATTTTTTTAAGTTGGTATTAGCAAAATTTCACATGAAAGTGAAATAGCAGCATGTAAAGTGCATCTGTCCGTTCAAAATGCCCGGAAAGCTATTTCACTTTCGACTTTTTTGAAATAACTTTCAGCATGCAAAATGAACTTGGCTCATAATACCAGTCTTTCACTGCTCGATCGAGTTTTATTTATGGACCTCGTCCGCAATCCAGTTCACACAACATTTATATTGGCTCACTTGACATTTTAGTATTTTATTACTACCACAACATTTCTAACTTCTTTGAGGTTAGAACTGCACGCTAGCGATTACGTTTATTAGAAAGTTTTTTGAAACAAACTGCATCCTTGATTCCACTATTTTCGTACGTTACCTGCACTTCTACACGTTATAAAAACTGACAGGCGTCTCTCTCTTATTTTAACTTCACTTTTTATGTTGCCGAGTAGAGAAATTATAAGGGACCCAACGCAAATCTCGCGCCCAGCGTCCCTTCTTAATCAATCCGCGACTTCGATTCTGATCTACTGTACGTTGCCGGCTCTGCAAAAGGAACCAAGATGGTTCACGGCTCTCCGTAAAAGCCCACGCATTCTAAACAAGTCTACTTAAGGCTGGTTTATAAAACCCGCAGTCGTTGTTGCTATCGTTGTCGTTGTAACGCTGTAAACGGCAATTTCGCAAGTGGGTTTATAAACAACGGATAACGTCGGATCCGCATCGTATTGTGGTGTTGTTATAGGTTATGTTACTGTTCTGTGTATGTTATACATATTCCTTGTTTTGAACATGGAATGTGAACTTGCTGCTTTACTACTTTATTACTTTTAAAGAGAATTAAAATTACAAACAAAAAGAAGAGAAGGCAAAGGCGGTGGAAAGTGAGGTACATAAATCGAGATAGACAGACAAAAGGATTCTACATTAGCACCTTCCTCCCAATCAAGATACGTGATCCTAGTCAATTTTTAGCGCATTTTTGCAAATTTATTTGTAAAAAGTAGCTTTTAATCTCACTTTGGCTGGCTGGTTGGCTGGCAGCAAATGTGGGCGCGTAGAAGAACTCTTGTAGAAAGGCAACGGGTGTACGTATATCTACAGGGCCGTGAAATTTGTCAACCTTAGGGACATGGCTACATGATGTGGGGTTGGCGACATCTGGGCGTCATCCTCGAGCGTAGTATACTAACGTGAAGGTTTTTCAGTTTTTTCCTATCTTCTACTACAGTTTTGGTCCGATTCTTTTGAAATTGGTGTCGTCGGAAAGATGTTGTAAACGCGCACAACTCCTGCGTGGCGGAATTTTGTTTTTTGTCATAGGGGCGAAATTAACGACCTTTTGCGAGGCGCGCGCGCGCGTCTTCGAGAAGTAGTCAACTTCGGGCGCCTTTTACCTTCCGTTGCGAACTCACGCGGTTTAACGTTTCGTAAATCTCGAATCGCTGTCTCTCTTTCTCGTGTCGCCAATAGAAGTGAATTGCGAGTGAACGGGACGTCGGAAGTGGGTACCGTAAAAGGAAATGTGGTAGCCCCCGACACGATCTTCCTGATGGTGGAGTCAAATCTTCAAACCCGAATTGCGGGTAAACGGGACGTCGGAAGGGCGTACCGTCAAAGGGAATGTGGTAGCCCCCGACACGATCTTCCTGATGGTGGAGTCAAATCTTCAAACGCGAATTGCGGATGAACGGAACGTCGGAAGTGGGTACCGTCAAAGGGAATGTGGTAGCCCCCGACACGATCTTACTGATGGTGGAGTCAAATCTTTAAAAGCGAATTGCGGGTGCACGCGGAAAGTGGGAAGCGGTTAGTGAATGTAGTAGCCTTCGACAAGATCTGTTATTGATGGTTGAGTCGAAAGTGGCTAATAGAATACGGATCTGCCACACAAAAATGCGCTGAAGTCCCTTCGATCTCAAACGAGGACTTTGATAATTTTTTAAGTATACACGAATGTATGTATCAACATTTACACTACTTTTGAACCGATTACGCCGTATCGTACAAGTAAGAAAAATGAACAAACCAATATCAGTGGAAGAAAGACTAGTGGTCACCTTACAGTAAGTATCATTATGTATTTGCTATCAATCAATTTTGATTAATTTGTTTTTGAACTTTCAGCTATTTAAGTCAAGGGTCATCAATGCAGACTGTAGCTTGGAAGTTTAAAATGGGAAAAAGTACAGTGCATTGTATAATAAAGGAAATGTGCCAAGCAATATTTGATGTTCTTCATAATGATTATTTACAACCACCTAGAAACGAAGAAGAATGGTTGTCAATCGCTACTAGTTTTGAAAATACTTGGAATTTTCCACATTGCCTAGGTAAAATCAAAAAGTTTATTGTTTTCCAAATTTTAAAATTGTTGTTTCAGGTGCTTTGGACGGCAAACATATTAACATGAGAGCACCTAATAATTCTGGCTCATTATATTTTAATTATAAAAAGAATTTTAGTTTGGTGTTGCTTGCCCTTTGCGATAGTCAATACCTGTTTAAAATTGTGGAAATTGGAGCATTTGGATCTAGTAGTGATGGTGGGGTTTTTCAAGAATCAGAATTCTGTGAGAAATTACAAACCGATCAATTAAGAATACCAAGAGATGCTCCAATACAAGGTTATAGTAATCAACAAGGTTTTCCATATTTCCTTGTAGCAGACGCTGAATGTCCTTTAGGACAACATATTATGAGACCATATCCAGGTCATTTATTGACAGAAGAAAAGGAAAATTTTAATAAACGCTTATCCAGGGCCAGAAGAGTTGTGGAAAATGGTTTTGGGATTCTCGCTGCTAGATGGCGGATTTTGCTACAAACAATAAATGCTGACCCTAATTTGGTTGAAGCTATTACGAAAGCCTGCGTATGTCTACATAATTTTTTAAGAGTTAGTTCTCCAGCCTATTGTCCTCCAGATTATGTTGATAGAGTAGGTGATGATAATGGTGCCTGGAGAAGAGAATTGTCCCAACCATTATCATCAATCGGAACTTCAACACACAGAAATTCTACCCACAGGGCTCTGCAATTACGAGATCAACTGGCATTTTATTTAAATGGAGAAGGTGTTATGCATTAGTTTGTACCTCGGTTTGTACCTACATCAGATTTAAAGATATGTAAATTTGTATTTTCAATATAAGTGCATTTTATTCACTATCGCTAACTAAATCGCTAATATAGTTCACAATAAGTTTTTTAAGGTTATTTTTACGTTGCCGATGCATTTTACGCATTTCGGATGCGACGTATTCGCAAAAAGCGCTATCCGAGTCGTTGGATGATTTCTTCGCAAAGAACTGCCCTATTGATTTTATAGAATCATCTATTTGCGAAACTTCATCTGAAGTTCGATTTGTATTTCGATTACGACTTCCTACAGTTGGTGTTGGACCGACAACTCTGGATCCTGATGTGCTCGGAGTATACAATTCATTGTTTTCAGTCTCATCTCCTGACATTAATTTGGGCTTTCGCTGCGAGACCGTGAAATAGTGCTCCGACTGCGATAATCCACGTCTTGGCTTACATTTTGGCTTTGGCTCTCTTCATGTCCATTTTGACTAACAGAAAGATTGCTGTATTGCCTAGAATACTATCATAACATCAATGCAATAAAAAATATGTTTACTGATGTACTTTCTTTGCTGGACAAAATCGTCTAAAAACTCTAAATATGGATACAGACTCCATGTTTCAACTTCCGATCCTGCTCCTGAAGGTACATTTTTCATCTTTCTCCTTTCTTTGACAAACTTATCTCTCAAAGCTCTCCACTTCTTGATAGCTTCGTCATCGGCTAAATGAAAAAAAGTTAATCTAAAATAAAAGTTTACGGATAAAGAGTAAACTTACTTTTAAAGTTCATTTCGACAGCAATTTTATGCCAAACCTTATTTTTTATATCGGTTCTTTTATAACTACCCGATCGTTTGTCATATAACACTTTATTTTCTCGCACGAGATTTATAAATTTTACATCAATTTCCATGTTCATAGTAAATTTAACAACACTTCCGCGTTTCACGATGTAAACACAAATACGAGGTTAGAATTCATTCATGTGGTCAAACCATAGAATACAGGCTGTTGTCAAACAATCGAAGTAGTTCAAAAAGAATAACAACAAGCGCATGCGCCAGTTTGTCGGAACGTCGACTTTTAATTTACATGAATTCTCCGCCAAGTTGCGACGATTATCCGGTTCTTATAAACGCGGCTGCGTATAGCCTATATGAAAACTTAAGCGAACTACGACTGCAGCTTTTATAAACCAGCCTTTATAGCCGTTAAACCGACTCACGCCTAGTAATCGTATAAAGCGATACATATGATATTTTACCCATATATAGAATTCGAATTGAATCTACCTAGAGGGCTCTCGTCATCTGGGTTTCACATTTAAATCATATTTGGATCTGTTTAGGCAAAACAGGGGAGAAGCTACAGTGCAAACAGCAGCTGTGGAGACGCTTGTACAGATTATAATCAGGAGGGGAGCTATGAAAACGGCTCAAAGATGAAAGATAAACTGTGAGGAGGGACAAGAACACGTCATGATAATAACTCCTAACAGAATTTAAAAAAAAACGTGCTCTCGTCTCGTCCTTTATCCAATAATACTCCAGACAGAGGTTTAACGTCTGTATTCAGATTCTATTGGAGGGAAACTTTATAACAAAAGAAACTCGTAAGTACACAGCTAGGCAGCAATATAAGAGTTTGAGGAGCAAGAGATGAACTGTGGATTGATGCTGAGATAGAATCGGAACCTCAGCCGTATCTAATAGCTTCGGAGTAAATAAGATGAATTTACGATTACTTTATTAACAAATGACTGTATTAGTTTGTAGTATTATCAGTAAATATTATATTCACTTTCTGACACCCATGTCAATCAAATAAGTTCTTCATACATACTTTGCAGTTCTGTTAGGTAATGCTTTGTGAGCATGCATACCCTCAAATGGCTGCACTTCTTATGTCCACGTCCCGTATATTTTTATAGTATATTCGGTGTAGTGATTAGGAAGTCCCCTCGCAAAATGAACGCACAATGAATAAAAATTGACATTTTCTGTAATAGCGCTTTAAGCTAGGGGGAAACACCTTTTTGGTGTAAATCCCTTTGAATTAATTTGAATTAACGTGAATTAATTTGAATTAACGTAAATTAATTTGAATTAACGTGAATTAATTCGAATTAACGTGAATTAATTTGAATTAAGGTGAATTAATTTGAATTAACGTGAATTAATTTGAATTAACGTGATTTAATTTGAATTAATTTGAATTAACGTGAATTAATTTGAATTAACGTGATTTAATTTGAATTTTTGGTGTACCAAAAATGGTACTTGTTTCCCCTTAGGCTAATTTAAGCAACTAGTCCGAGTCCCATGGCTTTAACATTTCTTCGTCATTGTTCAACTCTCTTAACCACATTTTCGTTTGCAGCACTTAAATTAATATGAAAAATGCTTTGATTTTTGCGCCCTCCCCTCTGTTCGGCTGGTTACAACTGTAACAGCCCAGAATACACACTCCAAACCTCGCTCCAAACCTACATAACAAATTTAACGATCGATTAAAAAAAATTACATTACCATTGGGTAATATCCCGAGAACTCCTCCCTGGGCATCTGGATTAGGTAGTGTATCCTGTATAATCGAGTGAATTCAGGTTAATTCCACTTTATTTCGTTTATTTTCTCATTAGTTAGCTGTTTATTATAGCTTTACTTATTTTATTGGCGTTTTGCCACCTATTTTCGAGGCGGAAAACTCGATCCTGTTTGTACTGCTTTTAATAAACGAAATTTTACTATCGAACGATATATCAAGTTTCTGCATAAAAAATGTAAACAAATAAAGAATGCATTGCAATCCCAGATTCAAATTGATCAGTTACGTATTGCCGGTGATTTGTAAATAGTAAACCTTTGTCCAAATTTAGATGAATTTGTATATAGTAAGTAGGTAGGAGGTATATGCTAACAATGGCGTGGAGAAAAATTAGATGAGAAAGTATATCGCAACAAAATTTCAGAAATAAATCCAAAACATTTCAGTAATGTAATCGTGGTCGGTAATCGTAACTTGAAAATAAAAGTATCATTATAATTAATTGCTACGTCACGCAATCAATTTTGCATAGAAGACCGTGATGGGAACAGTTACTGTTTCGTATACTTCCGTAATAGCAGCGTAATAATGAAAAGAAATTACACATTTCTTGACAAATGAACAGCTTGTTTTTAACCACGTCGTACTTGAAACAATATTGACATTATAAATGACTATTTTTAATCGTTAACATAGCAGAACAATTAACAAAATTACTGGATGTAGATTGACATAATGCAAAGTGGAATTTCGTAATTTTATTATACCGACTTCAAGCACGGTTTTATGTTATGCTAAAACGAATAAAGATTAGAAAGAGATAATAAGGTCAATATTTGTATACATTTACATATAATGGTAACCATATAAGAGTATGGTTGTGAACGTACCTACAACTTTTACGAAATGAGCGTTTCGAGAAATTATTAAAGAAAAACGTTCCCTATCAAGGTCATAGAGCAAAATAATTCATTATTTACTAAATAAATGTCCTTTCAAGAGGAAGTGTTTGAAGTTAGAAAAGGAAAGTGCGTAACGCAAGCGGCCTGTACATATGAGGATAATTTATTTTTATTTAGTTTTCTCTAAAGTAAATTTGGTTCACTCAATTGCGAAACTTTCCGTTAGGTAACTTTCAATTTCGCATTACTATCGTAGTAATATAGTTTACGTTATCAGCACTAATAATTTATTTACTCGATAAAACTAGGAATATAAAAAAGAAATTTAGAATAATTTTCGCCAAAATTGTATCATAAACAATACACGAAAAACCAACAATAAAAACTTCAGTTTTTCCATATTTTAACCGATTCAATATTTGATTTTCTTATCGCGGTTGTGATTGCCAGTTATCAATGACGGTCACACGCAGTTAATTAAAATAGAACAACTTTGATAAAAATAAATGGTTTCATTTTTTAAAATTGTATCGGAGTTCACTTTTCTTATAACTTTTAGATTTATTCGAAAATATATAGCAATAAATAATTGCAATATTTATTACATTTCTAATTATCAAATTTTGATGGGACACAAAGTTCAAGATGGTCGTTATCATAAATTGTGATAGAAGCCAATCGCGTTACCGATAATAGGCAAAACAATAATGTTGCTACTGCAGTTTTATTTAATGAAATCCTACAATTTCGAATTTGATGTTTCTACTGCTTCAGAATTACATCAAAGAAACGTAAACCAAACAATAGCGTTTAGAAAAATTGCTCGTTCATTCAATATTATGTCAGTGTTGTGGCAATAAATGCTATCATTGTAATATCAAGGTTTGTAACCACTACCTATTTATGTCGTGCTACATGTAAAGCCACGAACACACAAAGCGCTAATTGGATAGTGATTAACAAAAGAGATCTGTCCGGCGATTCATAATCGTAGTGGAATAAATTGAGGTAGTTTGGACGTTCATGCTTCTGAAAAATTGCATACTGACGTTACGAAGTGCTCAATTTTTCAAACTGTTATCCATCTAAAAATAACGTACAGAAGGTAATACATACAGCTGAAGAAATCGTCTTGCCTTACTGTATGAATTCCTTTAATCCCACAATGTTGTACGAATATTATTGGATAGGCAATTAAGTACCCACTTTCTGCTTTAACGTATAGGTAAACGCAGTTTAAACAAAATAGCTCCAAGAATGTTATCACTTAGTTTTGTACCAAACAAAAATAGCAAGGAGCAGAGTTCTGGTACATTTGCACCAAAGCAATGTATTATTCCGTTTTCTCAATGAAATCGGAACAAAATAAATTGATTCTCATTTCAAAATCGTCATGAAACAGTTCGTCCTAATCATGCGAGGCTATCTATCGGACAAATTTCCTGGAAAATGAAAAATAGGTCCGATAGGTAGGATTTTCGCACGATTAGTGCGTTGTGTGCCGGTGCACCACCTGTTGAAATTAACAGTTTCCAACTTTTGTTTTTTCTTGAGTGCCATATTTATATGCGCATTAAAAAATGCTACAATATAGTATTTTTTACGGGCTATATAAAGAAATCGTCGAGATAATTTCTCCGAAACGAAACGTTTTGAAAATCCCTCAACGCTGTCTTGTAGAGCTTAAAAAGTGGCAATGAAAGAGTGTTTTTTTTCTATTCGGATAACATCAGAAAAAATAAAATCCAAATCGGCAAATTTCGGTTTTTCTGCCGCAACTTTTCCTTAATTCGACCATCGTCGTATCTTCTATGGTTTTAGAGATCCCCATGATGACATCCTTATCTTGGACCACAGTATAGTCACTATATACAGACTGTTCTGACAAGCTAGTATACAGTGAGTTTTTTTTTAAATGCGAACATAGGAGTTTGCATGCAATGTAATTTCCCTAAGTTCGATTTTTAAAAAAAAACATCAATCTATGAGATGTGCGCGGTTCACATCCCAAATCGCGCAATTTGTGTGACTATGAACAGCAACTCTAATAGTCTTTATGATGAAGAGCACTCGGTAAGATTTTTTTAAAGAAGCCATGTGAGGCCATAACAACTTTAGGATACATTTTTCTTAAACTTACGATAACTTGACCTCACAGGCCACGCACTGACACCACAACTCATTGTGAACCAACCTTCAATTATTTGTAGGTCATGTGCACCTGGTATTCTACTAATTTGATCTATTCAATACATAAATGAGGAAAATAAGAAAATAAATACCGAAAACAATTACAATAAATGTTCGAAGTGTCCTCCTTGACATTCTAAGCAATAACCTAACCGATTTCGTAATTAACTTGGACGGCGGTATTTTTAAAAATGTGACAGTTGTCAATTGTATCTACTTACTACTCATTTGAACTACTCAATAGATTGATTTGTTTTTTTTTAAATCGAACATAGGGAAATTACATTGCATGCAAACTCCTATGTTCGCATTTTAAAAAAATTCACTGTATATGGAAAAGTAATGCACAAATATGTTTATAATTCTGTACGTATGCCCGTTTAGGGGAAACCATGTTCAGCTTTATACCACGTCCGGATTTATCGGAAATTCATCGACATTATAGTATATGGGTTTTTTTAAGTTTTAATTTTCATTTAATGTGTTTTGGAATAAATTTTTGTCATTGTCCATATTCGAACCCATTGTGCGCACCGGATAATCTTTATGTCAAATTTACTTTTTCGAATCCAAGATTTATTTCAGGTGTTGATCAAAATTTTGTGTAACAAATTATTTGGAATTTGTCTTGGAATTGAGTCTTATAATTTTTTTTTTAATTTTAAGTTGATGTGGGATTTTCCTTTGTACCAGATGTCGAAAGTGTACGAGAAATAAAATTCTAAGTTTCAATTTTGATTTGTTTTGAGCTAATTGGACAGTGCTAGACAGAGAAAAAAATCTAAATAAAGTCGCAAACGCCATTCGGCAGCATTAAAGAAGAAGAAGTAGTTTGACCGCATATCATTGAACACAGTATTATTATTTGGCGCCCAACGCGGGGCGCAACATATTTATTTGGCGCCCAACATGGGGCCACCGTGTTATTTATTTGGTAAACAACGTGGAGCCATAGCATTATTTATTTGGGGCCCAACGTGGGGCCACAGCAATATATACGAAATTACTTGCTCCAATAGACAAACGCAATAAGTAAATTTAAAGAATTTTTGTGGATCACGCTCATTTCGGACAAAATGTATCAAAACAATTATTTATTCGGTAATTTGGTAATAAGAACTTTTAGTGGGGGTTACCTCTATACCCAAGAATTGTATTTAATGCATGTGACCATGTATATTTGGATTTAGAAATGTCAAAATAGTTATTTATACACCGAAAACGGTCAAATGAATTAGCTCGATTTCAAAACAGTGAATTTGATTTGATCTTCTGCAAGCGCAACGTATTTATATCAGTAGAAACCAGGCTGGGC